TTAGGGTATTGCGATTTGAGGTAAGTACTATGTCAACCAAATTTCATGCTTTTCCCATATAAATATATTTGTGACTAGTTATTTGAGATCATTTGAGTATATGATAGTTAATGAGATTTTATGTATCAATTGTGATTGTGAATTATATATATTTGAGATTTGAGTATTTTATATTGGGTGATATTTTGAGCATTTGAATTTACATATGAATTGTTATTCGATTGAGATTTGAGATTTGAGCTATTTATGAAGTATCCTGTATTTTGGACTATTTATGGTATATTTGAGTATGATGAGTTGGAGTTAATAATTTCATTGTGAATAATTTTGTGGAATTCGGATTTCATATCCATTTTGATTGAGGTTATGATACTTGAAATTGAGATTGGATTATGATTTTGTGAGTACTCGGAGAAATGTGGATTTGGTGAGTGGTAATGACTATAAGTCTAATTCCACCAGGGATCTCCCAAAAGCGGAGCATCCCAGCTTAATTGTAGTAGTCGGTAGAAAAATCCCGACTACTCGGACTTTTTACTACCCAGAGAGCTTGGAATCTCTTTTAGGGGGTGTGCACACTTAAGGTAGGAGTTCGGCTTCCATTGAATTTGGTTGAGTTTGAATGATTGAACTTGAGATGATTTGGATTATTTGGTTGGACTTGATGGAGATGAATTGAACTACATTATATTGGATTATTTGAGTGGGTTATATTTGTTTGGATTGGATTGAATTTGACGTGGTTGAGATTATTAAATTATTTGTAGATTTTCAAAGTAATACTTATTAATTTGATTTGATATGGTTATGTTGAATATTGATTATGAGTATTTGGAAGTATTTTGAGATGAATATTTGGGCTTTACATATGATTTATGTTTTGGGATATAATTACGAAGATTTTGGTGGTTTATGTATATTGACCTTTTAGAATTATTATGATTTGGAAATATGTACCTATATTTGGAATATTATTATTTTACATGTGATTTTGTGATGAGAAGTTTGTATAAAATGTTTTATGAGGTTTCCCCCCAAATGTTTTCACAAAATGATATATATGTATCAAACATGATTATTTTACAGGGTTGGGTGGGCCTTACTTAGCATTTCCAGCTAATTTTTGTTTCTTTGTGTTTTTCTTTCTGTACTTTATTTGTGCAGGAATTGAGGATCATATTGAAGTTGATTTCGAGAGCTTCCGCTAGAACACATAGACTAAAGTGATCGAGTAATTTATTTTAGTCTTAATTTTAAAGAATTGTAGTTGAACAATTAAATATGGAAAATCTTAATTTGTTGGTGGTGGATAGCCTGTGCACCCGGTTATGTGAGAGCCGAGTGTGGCGGTAACGCCCCTGTTTCCCTTTGAATTTTCCGCTGCATAATTCTGATAAATTATTATTTAAATGTATTTTTGGGTGGGAAATTTGGGGGTGTTACACCTGGCCCTTGTGGATTCTCGCCATGTGGACTGGACTGCCTCCGATGGCTATGGGCTTGCTCTGACGACGTTCGTCGTCATTCTGGTGGCCTGTGGTCCTGCTCCTTGTTTCTGCATAGACGTTCGTCGAGATGGGCCGTTGAGCCTGAACCCCATCTGAAGACGTTCGTCCATCCTGGAGGAAATGGGCTTGCCAGGCTAGCCTAGTGGTCTATCTGGACGTACGTCCGGAAGAAAGGGCAGATGGGCCGAACCTCAACTTGGGCCATTAACCCAACAACTCCTTATATTCTTTCTTTTATCAAGCTCAATTTCCTTAATTTGAGTAAAGGTAGAATCTTTGCTTTTCTTCCTACCTTTCCAGCCATTTGTCTGTCCACATTCATAGGTAAACCTTCCATCTCACATTTCTTTATTTGCTTCCAAATGAATGAGGTACACCTTTGTGACATATCATTTTCTATTGCAAGTGCAGTTAGTACTCCTCTGTTGAGCTTACCATCTGAGCTGTTGATGAGAAGAAGTTGCATGATTCGTTGCCTTGATTCATTGGAGAGCCTCTTTTTTTTAACAATTTCTGCCATCTCCATCTTGTCGTTATTTGTACTTTAGCTATTTTGAGAAAGGTTTGGTCATATATAGCCACAAGGTTAATCTGTGTTGTTTTTTATTTTTGGAGGGAGTGGAGAAATTTTTTGGTATTCCCGCCACTAGTGGAGCGGAGTATTTGCTCCATGTTTTTTTAGTGGCCGCTGCTTTGTACTGTATGTTGCAGTCCAAAAAGGCTGCTGCCTTTATGGACTTGTTGTTTATTAGCACTTTTCTTGGTTGCAGAAATGGAAAGTCAAACCAAAACAGTGCCCTTTCTTAACTTCCGTGTCCAGTCAAAACCGAAAATAAAATTGGGACCGAAAATAAAATTGGGACAGAGGGAGTATGTTATAAGTCACAATGCCTTTATAAGTCAAATAACCAACATCAAGTCAAATTGACAACAATACGCAACAATGTGTCGAGAGCAAAATGAGTTTCACCTCGATGTGTATTTTGTTGACATATTGACTTGCTAGAATACAATACGTGGTAGTAAAAGTGTCAGCTCGACTAGTAACAAAACGACATCTTGATTTTCAAAATACAAAAATATGTCATCTTGATTGTAGCACGTGAATTAACTTGAAGAGAGGAATTGAAAGATGATATCTTGACTAGTACGGAGTTATAAATATGTCATCTTGATTGTCATATGTACGAAAAATGAGGTCTCGATTGTAGCAGGTTAATTATCTTTAAGAGTATGTTAAATACCTTTGTTAAAGGGAAGTATCAGTGGTAAAATGGGAACACAACATAAACATAACACGTTGGCTGTTCTTTCTTTCATCCTATACATGGTCATTTGATTACAAATTATAAACTTTGAGCTCATCTGTATTCGGTTTTTCGACTTATGGATTTATCAATTACGGAATAGTTTTTTCACCAAACAAGTAATTAGATTTGACACATAAGTTACTATAAAGGATCATTTTAACTATTTTTCATACTCCCTATAATTTTTTCTTTCATATTAATAAAAAATATTTTAAATGTAATTTTTCATAAATCAGCAGAATCAGCCAATTCAGTAACTTCACCTAAAATTTCATAAATTTCAAGAGAATCAACCGATTAAGCCAATTCCAGTGTTGCCAAATGGGCTTTTATGTCATGATACTAGAATGGGTACTATATTTCAATCGAAAAAGTGGATTCACTTACCTAGATCCCCAAAAGGTAGAAGCATATAGATTCAAGACTATATTTATGTGCTAGGGGTGGGACGGAAATAAGTTGAGTTTGTAAGAGAACTCCATGTCTCCATACTTAAGGATGATACAAAATTACAAACAAATACGCAACGGAGGGATTAATGGCGTGCTTTTAATGGAGAGATTTTCATTTTTGTGTTTTAATTAGTGGATCTCATTGATATAAAATACTTGAAGGGTGACAGTCAATGACCATGGTTATACTTATTCAATTCATAATCCATGGAATTAACTTGTGTTGGTGGAGATAAAATGCTTGTAAAGTTCATCTAAAGTATGTCTTGTGTTGTGGATTCTAGTAGACAAGAGGTAAGAGCTGAATGCTCTTAATCACTTCTTTCTCACCTGAGCATCTCCTTGCATTTGACTAAACTTGTGTTTGTGTTTTTTATTCTCAAAATAGGAGTACTTACAGCCAAGTTTGGAAAATACTGTCATGTTTGAAGTCTGGTACTGCCAAATCGTGACAGTAATTAGTTCTATTTTCGGAATAAAAACATAACAGTTCTATTTTGAAATTTTCAAACCTTTTTAGTACTATTTCGTCAAGTTGAGCACAGTTTCCCCTTTGACTTCTAAAGAGTAAAGACTCGTTTTCAATTTATATAGGGAAAACTATCACATAAGCCCATGTACTATACCGAAAAAGTCAATTATGCCCTCATACTTTACAAATACTCAATTAAGTCCTCGAACTGTTAAAAAACGTTCAATTAAGCCCTTTTGGTCAATAAGAAACCGGTTTCCCAGTTAAATGTAACCCGTTTCCCAGCAGCCGCCGTTGCTGGGGTTCGAGCACAACGTTGCCGTCGTCGCCGTTTAATCGGGAAACCGGTTACTTACCGACCAAAAGGGCTTAATTGAACGTTGTTTAATAGCTCGAGGATTTAATTGAGTGTTTATAAAGTACGGGGTTTAATTGACTTTTTCGGTATAGTACGGGGCTTATTTGATAGTTTTCCCATTATTTATTAATTTAGTCTCTATGAGACAGAGTTATGATTTATACGAAGTAATTTTAATTTCGTCATCAACCTCTCTTTTAAATACGGAGTAATTAACGTGGATCATAGAGTACAGTTGATGGTAGGATTGAAGACTAAAAATAGAAAATGACATTTACACACTTTTTGTGCATACGTACCTTTTGTCATAGATAAATCATCTTTGTCGCAGACATTCATCTAAAAAATTATAAGTCGTCAGAAACTAAATTAATTGATTGTGATTAATGTGATGCAAATAAATTGTACGAAACGTTAAAAAAAAAGTGTACACCAATAGATTGATTTTAATGCGAGAAATACCAACAAGGAGTTTTACTATTGGAAAATAGTGCAACATATACTTCTGCCGAACATATTTGCCATTGAGAGGCCAGATCGTATCAGACCGGCCTCACGGGAACCGCCGCCTTCCCGGTATAGTTTACTCATACCAAATTTCAGCTAAAAATTCAATCGGGAAGACAATCAAACAAATTCCATACGAAAACTGTGTTTTATGTATATTTAAAACGTGCAGTTTTAGTAGGGAAATTTTTTTACTGTCTTTCCGATTCAACTAAACTTGATGAGAAACATGCTCAAAAAATTTCATTAAAATATTCCACCAGGAAAGACCTCTGATGGCCTCGGCCAGACGGCGAATTCTGTCAAGTCGGCCTGACAGGATCGCTACTCTTGCCATTGATTCCAGTGTATGAAATAAAGAATCAGAGTACAGTATGTAGATGAATTGTTGTTGAAAATTACTGTAAATTATCAAAAATGTACATTATTGGTTAGGTATGGATTATTAGTACTAAAAATATGATGTAAACACAATATTCTGAAGAAATAATAAATGATTATTTTTTCACATTTATATACTTTTAATAAAACAAAAGCTCTATATCACCTTCATATTATATTTATATTGCTATTAATATTAATCTTTCCATCATTTGCAATAGAGCCAAAGATTCATTATTTTTTGGTTTGATAATATGATGGAATAAAGCAAAATGACTCATTAAACTGTCTGCTCTTCTTTGTTATGAACCAGTAGTCAATCCATGCAATTTTGGACGCGATTTTCACTATGGGTCATCCGGAAACAGCCTCTCTGTGCTTTAGTACAGGGGTAAGATTGCGTACATCCGACCCCCCTACCACCGTAGGTGGGAGCCTTTGCGGCACTGAGGTAAATGAAAATGAAATGATTGCTATAAATATTAATACTGATGAATACTGATATTAATAGTCATATTTATAATCATATGTTCATATTCATAACTGACCAATTAGAAACTTAGTGCTCTGGGTCAAGGCTTGAAATCTATATATCTATATAATATAATAAAGCAAACCCTTATGGAATGCTTTGGAGAATTTTTTGACATGTGGCAAAACTCTTAATGGGAAAATTTGCCAAGTGGCATCCCCATATTAAATTTCACTCCATGTTTTTATAGTAGTTATTATAGTTATTATGTACATAAATATGATAAGAGACAACATTATATTTATATATGCATGTAAAAGAAAATAAAAGGAAAACCTATTCAACTTCTAAAAATGCATGCATATAAACATAAATGAAACCATTTTAAGCTTCTCAATAAACGTACATACTAAATCATATGTGCACATCATTTATAAGCATTTAAAAAGGTGAAGGAAAGTCTATTCACATTCCAAAACTCCGTGTATATATTATACTATGTATTATACTGCCTTTGTTCCATTTTATTTGTCATATTTTAGTTTGACACAATTATTAATAAAATGTTTGAAATAGTAAAAGTTGTAGAAACTAGAGATTTGAGTATAATAAAGTGAAATGCAGTAGATCACATATTTCTTCTAGAAAAAATGTGACACTTATTTTGAGACAACCCAAAAAGGAAAGTAAGACAGATAAAATGAGACAGAGGGAGTAACATAAAGGACAACCTCATCTGCAAGCTGAAAGTGTTGCAATTATATAAATCGGAGTTCGGAGGTCAGATCGGAAACATTCAGATAATAATTATTATGATAATATTTATGATGATGATGATGATGATGATGATTGTAATAATACTAATGATAATGATGATGATGATGATGATGATGATGATGATGATTGTAATAATGATGATGATGATATGTACACATACATTAATTAATATCATACTAATTGATACTCGGGATAACAATACCCCAATTATGGATAACTATTAAAGCGCATTACTCGAGATTAATAAACACAGCCCATTACTCGGAATTAATAAATAGAATAAATTGGGCCTAACAGGGGGGATCATGGTCCGTGTGGGGACGCCCATATCCAGGCTGACCTGTTCAACAAGTCATGAGCTTGAGCGGGATTCCATCAATGTTGGACTCACTCTAGGACTTACGTGGCAAGCCATCTACAAATGGATAACTATCTGGCAGTGGTAGGAATTAAACTGAAGAGATGTGGACACAAATGAGCATTAAATGCGGGACTTATGAGATAGGTTAGAAAGGTCCTCCCATGATCAGACCTATTAGATGTGTCGGTTATGTCTCCTAAGACTAACGTCTAGAGCAAACACTTTAGAATGTACTTTACCGTGCGATGCACGGGTACACAAACTAGTAATATAATAAAGCAAAGCCATGGGGATCTCTTTAGAGAAATAGTTGACATGTGGCACCATCTTTTGTAGATAAAATGACATGTGGCAACAACATAAAACAAAAGCTATTCAACTTCCAAACTCCCACTCAATTTATGTGTAATATATATAAGTTAGGAGTATTATAAGGGTGTGTGTGTTTATGTGTCACAATGTTGTGTATAGGTAAAAATTTCCACTAGACAGTAGTAAAAAAATTGCAAATACTCAAAACAAAAAATAATTAAATAATTTTAGTCTCTTAAAATTAAAAATATTCCTCATACTTTTTTCCCAACAAAATTTTATGGGTTTTAAAGGTTGCCCTGCTGGTCAATAAAAAATACACTTGAAAAGAAATCTTGAAAATTACCGTTAAGTAAGAATGATCTTGAAAAAATTTGTGTGTAAATATATAAGTTAAGAGTATTGTGTGTGTGTATTTGTCACAATGTTGTGTATAGGTAAAAAAATTGCACTTCACATTAGTACAAAATTCCAAACACTCAAAAATAAAAAACAAATAACAAATTTTAGCCTCTTAAAATTAAAAAATATTCCTCTCATACCTTTTTTCCAACAAAATCTTGCGGGTTTTAAAGGTCGTCCCACTGGTCAATGTAAAAAAAATACACATGAAAAAAGATCTAAAAAATAATTACCCTGAAATAAGAATAATCTTGAAAAAAATTATGTGTAATATACTCCGTATAAGTTAGCAGTATTATGTGTGTGTGTTCATGCGTCACAATGTTGTGTATAGATATAGGTAAAAATTTGCACTTGATTGTAGTACAAAATTGCAAATACTCAAAGGTTAAAAATAAATAGCAAATTTTAGTCTCTTAAAATAAAAATATTCCTCTCATACTTCTTTTCCAACAAAATCTTGCTTGTTTTAAAGGTTGCCCCGCTGGTCAATGTAAAAAAAAATACACATGAAAAAAGATCTTGAAAATAATTACCCTGAAATAAGAATAATCTTGAAAAAATTTATGTGTAATATATATAAGTTAGCAGTATTATATATGTGTGTGTATTTATGTTTCACAATGTTGTGTATAAATATAGGTAAAAAATTACGCTTGATTGTAGTACAAAAATTGCAAATACTCAAAAGAAAAAAATAAAAATTTTAGCCTCTTAAAATATAAAAAATATTCCTCTCATACTTCTTTTCCAACAAAATGTTGCGGGTTTTAAAGGCTACCTTGTTGGTCAATGAAAAAAATACACATGAAAAAGGATCTTAAAAATAATTACCTTGAAATAAGAATTATCTGTAATAATGCACATCATGAATCAAAGGGGGTGCACACATATAATTAAAACAATGTGTGCTTTAAATGGGCAGAAAAGGTTAAACAAGATGTCACCTCATTTTTTTATTTATAGTGGTGCACATTTCTATTTTACATAATGAGGAACTCTGAAATCTAACATTCCAAACTCATTCCCAATTTTCTTCTTAGATCATGTTCTCATTTGATCCAAATTATATATGTAGTGTGTTGCCATCTTTCTTACGAAGTCATGTTCTCACTTTCTTACGATCTAAGAAGATGCAACTCATTTAACATCTGTATAGATAGTCGATTGAGTTCTCTTTTAAACTTTGATTGACGAATCCATATACAATCGACGTCCCTATAAATTTGAGAAAAACATTATACATGTATCTTACCGTGCGGTGCACGGGTACACATACTAGTTATACTATAAATTGGTCTGGAAATTATGTTTATATTTATATTTTCATTTATGTATTTATGTTTACATTTAATAAATACCATTTTAACATTTAGAAGCATGTGCAAGTGATCAAAAAACCATTTGTTTACATATGATTATACGAAATTGCTCAATTGAACTTTTTAAAAAGTGAAATGTCAATTGTGGTGTTCGGGAAAAAAAAGTGGTTGAATACTAGGGATTTAATCTCCTAGACTTCATAAAATCGAGACCTCCTCTCTCTAGGGCGGAATTTCCGCCGCTAGGGTTTTCTTCTCCGCTATCGATTCTTTTGAGGAGCGGCCGTCTTCCCTACACTAGTTAGGGTTATTTTGTTCCGCAGATCGAGCTTCGTTCGTGCGGTTTTGGTTTTTGTGAGCGAAGAAACACAAGACAACGTGATAGAGTTTTCTTCTACACCTCGAACATGGATTTCAATGCCAAATCTCAAGCAGCAAATTGACGAGATCAAATTGGTGAGCGCAAATAAGGGTTCAGAGTCTTCAGACCAATTTTCCAAGGGTTGAAATTCTCTTCTGCCATACTACAGCAGTTCGCCCTCCTCCGGAACCACCTCCGTGCGAAGAAGCAATTTGGGAAAAAATTTTATTTTCACATTATTTTTGCTTTCATAGTACTTATTTTTATTTCAATTCGAGCAGGTACGATTGGAGGATTTTGATTTTTGAAGAACTTTTGATAGGCAGTACAACCAGTACTTCATTTTCGATCATTTTAGGCTTCTTCTTGCCCGTTTTGTGTCTTGGAGTCAGGTTGCTTTGTGTGGGTGGCTGACTCTAAATCTATTCTGAGAGCTTGCGATTGGATCTGTAATAACTGTCTGGATTTTGTCTTGCATGTTTGCTCTATATGAATGAAAAGCCGTTTTGATTATATAAAAAAACATTTAGAAGCATCAATTTTTTATACGTTGGTCTCCTCCAACTTCTTAAAAATTACATCTAGGGAGCAATTAGAAATAGTTAGAAATACTTCTACAATTTTACACAAATACTCAAATATTTGCTTCTGTTCATTTTAAGTACTCCATAGATCCAAACATGGGTGGAGCTAGGGGTGGGCCAACCTAGGCCATGGCCCACCCCAATATTTTAAAATGACTTAATTTTTAAGGTAAAAAATTTCGTGTAAAATTTTTTTCAAAAAATATCCTTTGTACCAGTCCAGTCCGGCCCAGTGCTCTGGCTCGGCCCCTAGATCCAAACACTCGCTTATAACTTATTGGTAGGGGGAACTCCCTAATTAAAATTTAAGGATTTAAAATGTAATTAAACTAAGTTTAATACTACAAAAACAAAGATCCTGAAAGGAATAAATTGTTGTTTCTGCAGTCATGCATACTGAATTTAGAATAGAAGTGATAAAACGGGCTGCTTCTGTCTCTACATTTCATGTCTTCTAACTCTACAACCAATAAACAACACTTAAACCTGTATTGTATTGTTTGTATTTAGTCCAGTCTTGTATGATTGACTTACCTTGTGGGATTTATTAGGGTAGGCCCTCCCTATACATATACATTTGTATTTTGTAACACTATACAATTGTTCTTGAATCCAATTCTACATAACCTGTATAAAGCAACAATACATACTACAAATGAAGCACAAAACAACCTGACCACTTTTTAAAGTATGAAGTGAGTGGGCGAGTGATTTATCGGCATATAAGTGCCATCAGCTTGATCATACAAGCCAGGTGTTTGAGAAATAGGAGTACAGATGTTTGAGAATTTCAAAATACGATTGCCATGTTTTATTCTCTAAATAGGAGTAATTACTGCCAAGCTTGAAAAATATTGCCATGTTTAAAATCTGGTAATGCCAAAACATGACGGTAATTACTCTTATTTAGAGAATAAAAACATGATAATCCTATTTTGGAATATACAAACGTTTTTAGTCCTATTTAAGGCAATTTTCTGAAAAAGAACACTCACTGTTACTATTTATAGTAGAGCTACTATTCCAATTAGCAGTCACGGAAATAGGGGAAACTGGCAATTTTAACCTCTGCAGCAAGACTACATCTTCCGGTTCATGTGAAGAAGGGACTTTTGTAATTCTTGATGTATTATTATTATTATTATTATTATTATTATTATTATTATTATTATTATTATTATTATTATTATTATTATTATTATTATTATTATTATTATTATTATTATTATTATTATTACTGGTCTCTAGTTCCAACTTATTTTTCAACTCAATACCTTGGATTTCCTTCAATGTTTCCAGAATATCATCCATGGTAGGCCGCATATCCTTCTCAGGTTGCAAACATCGAAAAGCAAGCTCGGCCACAGAAGTAGTCATCCTCAAAATTTCAGCATCTGTCTCAAACCTTAGAAATGGATCAATCAACTCATTAAACGCATGCCGGATTATCCTGTTCATGGCTAAGTTTGACAAGTTGATCTCATGCCTATGCCGACTTATATCCACAGCAGGCATCGATGATATGAGCTCAATAAGGACAACTCCGAAACTGTAAACATCACTTTTATCAGTGAGTTGGTAAAACTCATGGTACTCAGGGTCGACATACCCAGGTGTTCCTTGAGGTGCAGTGGAGACATGTGAAACATTGTTGGGAAAATGTCTTGAAAGCCCAAAATCAGCAACTTTGACACAAAAGTTTTCATCGAGAAGAATGTTTGAAGTCTTCACATCTCGGTGTATTATGCCAGAAGCGTGGAGGTAAGCCAGTGCACCAGCTGCTTCCACCGCAATACTCATGCGGATGGGCCAGGTGAGTGATCCATCTTTTACTCTCTCTCCGTGGAGGTGATCAGCAACTGTTCCATTAGGGATGTATTCATAAACGAGGAGTTCACGGCTGAGTCTTGATGTGCAGCCATAAAGGGTTACAAGATTAGGGTGTCTAAGGCAGGTCAGAATCTCAATCTCATTTCTGAACTGCTCCATTCTCTTGTTGTTGTGCTCATATAAACGCTTCACTGCGACTTCCCTTCCATCCCGAAGTTTGCCTAGTTATGTGGTACATACACACAAGAGTTCACAAAGTTAGTAGCAGAAGAAAACTGATTGAATTCAAGATTGAGGTGGGGTTTCTCAACTGGGTCCTAAGGCATTTGGGTTAAATCAAAATAAAAGATTGAATTCAATCTGCAAGCCAGTTTAATTAAAGGTTTAATTAACCTATCATTCTCTCTTTAGTTTTCCAATATGAGATTCTGACACTTCCTTCGCATGGAAAACTAGACAAACAAAGTGGGCCAGAATCTGCTCTAATACAATTATAGAATTCAGTTGGGATCACCTAAGTGATATGGCACTCAGGCCAAACCGTACTAAAAATTGAAATGGAATATCTTAGCTAGTTCACCCATCATTCTATTTTTAACTTTCGGAGCAGAACTCTAACAAGGAAAATTTTTAGTGAGAGGATGTCTTACCATAATAAACAGTCCCAAACCCTCCATCTCCAAGTTCTTTGGAAGAATCAAAACTGTTTGTAGCTTCTTCAAGCTCAGAGTAAGAAAAGACATGAATCCCAAAGTATTTACTATCATGCTCAAGGTCTTGTTTCAAGGAGAGATCATCAGAGGTAGTGTTATCTGGAAAGAATTGGGAAGAACCCCAACAACATCCCTTCTTCTGACTCCGAAGAACGAACACCACCAAACTCAAAGTGAGGATCAATATAACAGCTCCTAAAACTGGATTCACACAAAAAACATAAAAGATTCATTTTTTAAAAATCATATCATACAAGTGGTGGCAGATATGCTTTACCAAAAAATAGACGATGCAAAAACTTCAACAACATATATATTAAACATGAAGTGGAATGGAAAGAAAAGTTACATGTTACAGACATACCTGCAATTATAATAACCTTCGTTTTACTTTTTCCTGCAACCAAAGTGAACCAGGGAAGGTTAACTAAGATGTGTAGAATGAGTTAAACAAAACAAATGTTGACGTGCACTTTGTCGTGTATGCACTCAAAATAATAATCAATACAACACTAATACGTAGTATAGTGTAGTATGGTTCGTATCCACAGGGAAAGAAATATTTTTCTTTTTATAGAACTAGTAACAAAAAAGGGGGATTTAGTTTGACTTGGTTTAATTAATTAAACACAAAGATGAACGACTTATGTGGTTTACTTAATACAGATGAAGACTTGGCTTTGCTATTATCCACTTAATGAAATGTTCGTCGAACCCGGTTATATCTTTAACTATCTTCCTCTCGAATACTCAATCGAGGAGTATATTCAGTTCATCGAGGGTAGTTATTAATAACGAGACGCGTTCATTAATAAAACTTACTACCGAGTTAATATAGAACACGTGCCGTATATTAACCCGATAGTAGCAATAAAATCAAGATGAAAACGATTGAGATTGATAACCTCAACACAAACGGTTTATTGGTTTAATCAACATAATTAATTCCCCTTGGTTTATTAACCATGAAACGCATGCATTAATAACCCAAGTTACTACCGTGAAACGAGCGAACGATTAACAAGCGTATTCGTCGATCGATTCTAGTAATAATTAATACTCAAGGAAGAATATTAAAGAAGAGGAATCCTACTATAGTTAATATCAAGATGTTAACTAATTGTCATCTTAGTAACACTCCCCAACATTAACATAGAGGAAGAAATAACTATTACTATAACTAATGTCAAGATGTTAACTAATTGTCATCTTAGTAACACTCCCCAACATTGATATAGAAATAGTATTTAAAGGAAGAATTAATATTCAAGGAAGAAAATTAAAGAGAATAACTCACAACTTACAAATTCATTAAGCTTCAAAGTAGCAAAACCAAGATGGGAGAGTTCAGCTCCTCATTTGGAGACTAAACATGATAAAAATATAAAGAAATTGCTTAACTAAACTGAGCTTAGTAGTGTATAGGAATTGATGATTTTATTGTGAAGGAAAGGGGTGTATTTATAGGCTTTTGGGAGCTGCAGGGTCTGATACCCGATCGAGTATATAGGATACCCGATCGGGTATCTTAGGAAATTTCCCAGAAAGTCACTTTCTGGGCATATCCGATCGGGTGTGTCGGCATACCCGATCGGGTATGTGACAAATCTTCACGAAAATTTACTCCCACGATCATTTGTTCCCGGATTTGATTTGGACAATCGAATCAAGCGAATACCCGATCGGGTATAGGCAATACCCGACCGGGTACATGAGTATTTTTTCCAAATCGAAATCTTTCTTGTCTCCTTGCACTTTCCTTGATCTTTTAAGGTCCAATCTTGATCCCTTGGATGATCTTTGACATGTTTAGCTCAGAATAATCCTAATCTAAACAAATTACAAATAAAAATAAAAATAAAGTATTACACCAAAAGTGTGTAATTTCCACAACTAGAACTAATAAAAACTAGTTAAAAATACAAACATATAATCGGAAATTACAAGAATATCAAATGTCATCAACATATTTAAACAAAGTGAGACTACACAGAGAAAATATGCTCAGTTGTGAAACATACAAATTGGGTGAGAACTATGTTGTGACGGTATAAAACCGGATTCACACACAATATAAAAGTTCTGTTTGCTAAAAATCATATAAATGCTGGCAGATTTTCTTTACCGGCGAATAAACAATGCAAAATCTTCAACATCATCAATCAATCATGAAGCAGAAATGAAAAACGTTATAGGTGACAAATATACCTGCTTTTATAGTAAAATTCATTTTACTTTTTTCTGCAACCAAAGCTGACCAGGGAAGGATTGAATAAAATTAAAAACACGAGCAAACAGAACAAATATCACCAACATATATAACAGAGTAAGACTAGACAAAGAAAATATATTCAGGTATTAAATATGTGTGTGTGTAGGGTCAGAACTCAGAACTATGCAGTGACAATATACACATCTGAATTTGGGAATAAGAAATTCATATGAATGTGCCAGTCAGCCAGTGTGTGATATGCCTAGGAATTGTCCTCTTGTATCATAATACTAGGAAAATATATTCTTCAGGCATGGCAGTTCCTTCCAAATTTAAGTGAAACTAAACAGTTGTCACATGGATAACCAGCTTTGTGTGACTTCTTAAATGGCCAGCAAGTCGAGTACAATTGCTCTTGTACAGAAGAAATATTTGATGCAAACAAGCAAATTTCAAGAGGACGAGTAATAAAAAAAATGTACTATGTATATAGTAAGTTCCACAACAGTTCTTCTGCATGTTAATGATTGACACACTGAAACCTCCTATTTAACTGAACCAAAAAGAAAAAACACAACTTAAAAAATCCTACAGCTATGAATTACAGTACTTTGTTCTTCTTCCCTTGATGTATATATACATGTGTGTGTGTCTATTTATTTAATTATTTGTGAATATTATCATGATACATTGAATAACACTCATCTGGTAAACTGGTCACTCTCTTTAGAAAGATCCTTAAAGCCTAGGTAGACACACATATTTTGTAACTAGGTTATATAGAAGTGGTAAGAGATAGACTTGCAGGCTTCATACATTTCTTGGGACTGCAGGAACTCAGGATGAATTTCATGGGCTAAACATGGTTAGCAAACAAATAAGGCCTTATTTATGAACATGATGAGAGAAACCGATGTTTTGAGTTTGTTTCTATGTGTAGTCATCACGCTTGAGTTAAGTGAAATCCTAAATAATGAAAACCATTCTTTTACTGCATATATCAAGCATGAATCTGGATAAACCGAATCAGTTGTTTTACTCCAGAATGAAGGCTATAATTAATCCTTTTAGAGAGTGCCACTCACAAAGAACTCACTAAAGAAAAAGTATCCTTTAAGGATAAACACCCATCAAATGAGAAATTGTAAGGACATTGACCGAAAGCATCTAAAGTAAATTGGGTTCATTATCTCAGGTTGAAGAAGTTGAAAGGTTATATTAGGATTAGTTTGGACGTCCAGAAACTTTTTTCTTCAATTGAGAATGATTGTTTTGCATAATATAGAGGGAAAGATCAAGTGAACAGTTTCAAACTTTCACCATCAAATGCTTAAACTGCCTGTTTTAACATGTGGCAAATCTATGTATGCTAAGTTATCTACAGTCTCCAGCTGCCTAAGAATGTGAAGCGATTGATACTCACTAGTAAGGCTTGGTGTAGTACGGACAAAAGTGACCCAGGAAACTCATCATACAATAAGTAATCTAAAAGTGGAATTTCCCTTTAAAAGATGGATTCTAATTTGTTTAGAAGCCTCATGCTTGACTGAACTGTTCCCTACTTCTCTCCTCCCTTTTTGAAAAAAATCAACACAACAAATTGTCCAATGCAGTGATGTTCTAAACAGCTAAACCTCACAAGCAACCTCAAAGATTTGGTTACTCAAGAGACTTTTTACTACAAAATGCTATACAAAGATATAGTAATAGAATAATAGACTAATAGGTATGTTTCCCAAAAACAGGTAAGCAGATAAGTGGAAACCAGTGAACATAACATTATTTTTTTCAAGGAATTTTATCAATCCAAGACCTGAAAGATAGATGAATTATCAATCCTAGTGCTGAAAGATGAAATGTATCAGTAATTGCTAATTTTTGATGATTTTTTCTTCACAAAAGTTTATTAGTTTAATAAAATAAAATAATATTTTAAATTTTTAAAATAGAAAATAATGAAATTCACGACAACTTAGGTCCTAAATTGATAGTTTTCAATCATTTGGCCCCTATAATGACACATTTCATCTTTCAGGTGCCGAATTGATAACTCATCTATCTTTCAGGTCCTGGATTGATAAAATTCCTTTTTTTAACTTTAAGATTCATGTGCGAATATCGGGTAAATAGTGACAGAAAGCATCATTGGCTAATAGTCTTGTGCTTTAGAATTCAATTAGCTTCAGTGCTTAAATTATAGAATGCACATAGTTGGGTGCATGGGTGTCAGAAGGACTTATATCGGCATCATATCCAATTCATTCCTAATGCTTGCAGTCTTGCACATCAATTAATTTATATAAGTTTCTCTTTCTGGGCACACTTATTCAAGATGTCGTCTCCACTTATTCCTAAATGGAACCACTCGCATTCAGTACAATCTGGTTCATCGTACACTATCAGGTCATGGAGGTTCATATGCATTAACAATTTAACACTTTCTAGTTTCGCCAGTTACATCTCTGTTATCTCTCCTGGAGATACTGACATTTTGCGGACTTCTTAAAAAAAGGCTAATATTACTAGTCAAATAGAGTCATCAACTTTCAGTTAGACCGTTAGACCATTACTATCAGCAGCATGGCATAGGCATGTCCATTTTTACTACATTCGAATAGAACCGTCTCACAAGACGTAATCATCACATATTCCTTTTAGACTGAGAATACAAATCCTCACAAAAAGTCCTAATCATCACATAGCTATCTGCATACTTGAACTGAAATTTCTAGTATTTCTAAATTCCAAAGATGGAAACTGCCTTATTGAAACGTGTCATTAATATTGTCTAGGATGGAAACTGTCTTATTGAACCTCTTAAGAGGCTCTAACTGAAATTTCTAGTATTTCTAAATTCCAAAGATGGAAACTGCCTTATTGAAACGTGTGATAAATATTGTCTATGCAGATACAAACAGAGAGCAAAAGGGGAAGGAATGCTTACCCATTTGAGGTTTGCAAGTACTGGAATGAGGTCTATCGGGACAGAAACACTTAAACATCTGAGTGGTAGAATTAAACCCACACCGCCCTCCACTTCCTTTACATTCACTGCAACTGCTTACTCTCCACTGCAACTCAAATCCCCTTCTCAATAACTTATCATATTTGACCACATCATTGCTTCTCTCATCTTCCCATCTCTCTACTGGTGCCACCACATTCTCTGTGCAGTGCTCCAAAGCAGAGATCAAGTTCTTGTTATCATGAAACATTACCAAGCTCGATGTGTTTCCTTTCCCTCCTTCATCACAGCCAACCGGCTCGTACCTCTTAAGAGGCTCTAACAATGGTCTACTGCAATTTGAGAATAAATTGATCGCTCGTGAAGAATAACTCAGGCTCAACTCTGCAAAAATTTCATTTCCAGTTGTAGTCCAATTCCTAATATGGGGATGACAGCTTGCCCCGAACCCTTGATTAGCAGCAGCATTATAAACACGAAAGGTATTGTTTTCGTACGAAATGTTTTGAACAACATACTCATTTTCAGATAAGAGGAGAATTGGATACCCCTGGCCATTACAACTGATATTGAAGTCAGGGACACCACAATAGGGCTCCTGCTGGCCTTGAAGGTAAAAGGGGTAGCTTATGCTTTGACCATGTGGGCATCTTTTTGGCTCGCATGCTACAAACTGCAAATCTACAGCAAAAGACTTTTCTAGCAGAAGGACAAAGCTAAATATAGAAAGCTTTAATGATACGAATATGCAGATGCGTATGTTCTTTACGTTCATTTTGTGAAATTGAACAGCTTAAAGCAGCCAGAGTATATCTGAAAACACGAGAAAAATAAGAAGATGGTAGGTAGATAAGACATACTAGAAGAAGTGGTGGAGGTCGAGTTCTATGGTGGATTGACTTAGTCAATGATTCCTGCGCGCAATTGGCCGGCTCCGCCAAAAGGAGCTGACCAATCTCCTTCCTATCTTGGGCAGCAAATCATATATGAGCAAGCCAAACCCCACCCAGAACTGGGCAGCTTCACAATTAGTCAACGTAAACTCACAAAAAAAAAATGCTCAAAATGTAATCCGGTAATGGGAAGTTTCTATTCATGGTAAAGAATGTTCCCCATCGAATGGGGATAATAGGGATTTACAATTGATGTGTCTAAGATGTTCATCAACTTAGTTTATACATTATCCCGGATTCAGATCCTCTGCCGTGCGGCAGAGGTGCCTTGCGGCAAAGCAAGGCAGAGGTTCCGGATCCATTATCCTCACATACTCTGTATATTCTAGAGAAAAGGGGCGAATCCCCCTAAAATTACACCTAAAGGGTATCCAAGTCCCTAAACAAATTTTTGGAGCAAAAAGCTATTGTTTCCCATAAAAGAGGGCATATCCCCCTCACTCATGTTAAACACACGGAGTAGTTAACAATTAATAGTCTGGGTTGAATTTCCTCAATCTAAATCTCATTCAAATCTATTTTTTTGTGAGCAAATATTGTAAATAAACATGTGGCACATTAACTAACTAAATGTTTTAATTGGTTTAATTATAGAGTTAACATGTTTTAACTGGATTGAATTTTTTTGATCTGATGTAATTTGGTCTAATCAATTTTTGTCCGATCTGGTCTGATCTGTTATAAAAAATTTTACTTAGACTTATTTCAGTCTTGGACAAAATCAGACCTGAACAAATCTGAATAGACATAAAATAGATTAGACCTCGAAAAAATATAAAATACTCAGAAACCTGAAATCTACAGAACAAGACAAAATCAGACTAATTCAAATCAGGCCAAATCACAAAGCACATCCAAGCTCATATGTCTTCTTTGTGACCAAATGTCTTAAATAAACATGTGGCAAATTAACTAGCTGATGTGTCAATTGGACTGAACTTTTTTTTATCTAATCTAGTTGATCTGATCTATTTTAGTCTCGAGCTGGTCTGGTCAAAAAATTTATTTTATACGGAGTACGTAGTATTACTAATATCGTTGTCTCCCTTAAAAGTTCATGTCCACTATTATTTGGTCAATGTAAACTAATTTAAAATCTTTTACTTTATATATTCAACTTTTATCAAATTTAATTTTTTTATTAACTTTATAAAACTTTTAATGTAGCTTCTGATATCTATATTTCATATTATCTTCATAATCTATTTATAATTATTTTTAATTATTTATTATTAAGAATAATAAAATTCCTTCAAATATATTGTACACTATATTTTCTCGATTTTTGCCGTGTATCTTCTATAAGTTAAAGGGGAAAAATATTATGGCATGATAAAGAAGATAAAATAGTTTTTGCATACTTTTAATCTTTGTAATATACACATTAAAAATGTGTGATAAGTCGAGAATATACATTGTACAATAATTTGGGAGGAATTTTATTATTTTTAATAATAAATGAATGCAAATAAATTATATGCGGATTATAATATACGGAGTATATATAATATTAATGACATTTCATAGCAGACAAGATGAAGGTTTTTTCGATTAAAATTTTATCATCTGGTCGAATCTGATTTGGTTTGGTCTGAATTGGTCTAATTTTGTCTTGTTCGGTAGATTTCTGATTTTTTGAGTATTTTATAATTTTTCGAGGTGTAGTCTATTTTATTTCTAATCATATTTGTTCAGGTGTGATTTTGTCTAAGACTGAAATAAGTCTAAGTAAAAACTTTTAAAAAAGATCAGACAAAAATTGATTAGACCAAATTACATCAGATAAAAATAAATCAATCCAATTAAAACATGTTAACTCTATAATTCGAGATTTAGTTAGTTAATTTGCCACATGTTTATTTAAAATATTTGCTCACAAAAAAAATAGATTTGGATGGGATTTAGGTAGAGGAAATTCAACCCAGGTTGTTAATTGTTAACTGCTCCGTGTGTTTAACCTGAGTGAGGGGGGATATGCCCTCTTGTACCGGAAACGGTAGCTTTTTGCTCCAAAAATTTGTTTAGGGGCTTGGATACCCTTTAGGTAAAACTAGGGGGGATTTGCCCCCCTTTTCCCTATATTCTATCTATAATAATGAGAGCACACTAAATGTAAATTCCTTCAAATACCCCCTTTTAACATTTCTTTTAACACTACATGTAATTTCCACACACATTATAGTGTAGATATCTGTCATACTTTGTATTGTTTTGTAAGAGTTTCATCAAATACCAAAAATCGTGTAAGAAAAATAACTTTGATAGTAAGGAAAAGATATAACAATATGAAAGTTGTGTTAGACTTTGTTCATGGAGTCTTTCTCCATTTGGTCCTTACCTCGATCAATAAGTATCCTTACCTCATTAAAAATCTTACCAAGTAACAAAGCCCACTAGGACAAATAACATTGGTTTAAAGAAAAGATTATAACGCAATGGTGGGTAGGTGAATGAGTCTCCATCATGTCTACACCTTCTCCTGATATATACATTAATCAGGGCAGTTCGGAAAGCTTTCGCAGTCCTATGCTATTTACGTGTTTTTCAAAAGTGGCCTTGGTCCTTGGATAATGGCTTGGCAAACAATTCAGTCTGCTACATTTTCTTCAGAGCTTATTTGATTCACTTGAACCTTGAGCAAGGCTTGTTGTTGCTGATTGCAAAAGAACTTAGGAGATATGTGTTTTGTTTTATTACCATTAGGGGTGGGAATAGACAAGGCGCCCTATCAGAGGCTTGTTGCCTGATTTGTTTAAGACTTGGGTTGGCATGTTCAATAATCAAACTAGTCTTGGACTTTTCAGAAAGCTCGTTTATCTAAATAGGATAGGCTTAACCCAACTCTGAAGTTTTTTTAGCTTAACGAACCAACCTATTTATATGTGTATATATATGTTTTTATATATATTTAGTTATATTTATATTTATTTGTATTACTAGCATTCGCTCGCGCAAGGTGCGGGAGTTTTTGCCCAATGTTAAAGTCATGCTCTTTTTATGAGACTATTATATGAGATTGATATGAGGATTTATAATCAATGTATAAAATTATCTTAAACTATTGATGAATTATTTGATTAATTATATTCTCAATTCCCCAACTGTTGGGTGGAAATATTGCTATTGTTTTTTAAAGCTATGTGATTTAAAGAAGTGGCTATATTTTTTGGTTTAATTGTGAAATGACTGTAGACTTGTAGTGACAATAGGAGTGAGAACAATGTTATTGAACACACTCAATTACGTGAATATTGAGCTAGTGTATACAAATGTTGATGTTCAACGAGTTTAGATATATAAAACTTTTCGAATTGTGGTGCTCTACATGTAAGGAGATATCTTGTCTAGCTAGGAATGATCTATATCTTGTGGCGTTATATGCATACATTTTCTTGAGTAGTTTATTTCATGTGCTCTCAAAGATGTTTCTATTCGGTGTCCTATTTAAAACAAATATTACAGGTCAAATATGCAATCATACAATGAAGTTGTTGTTATTATTATTATTATTATTATTATTATTTCACATTGGCTCTTCTCTTGATTTGGAAGGTTAAAAATGTAGGCTCCTATCCCAATTTATAGTACCCTACGTTGAGAATATTTATATCCAAGGCGCAGACTAATTATGTAGTGTACTCCACACACTCTAGAATTCTTAACACACATCCACTCTCTTCCATAAGGTTTTAGAAGGTTTCACACATATCCATAATGTTCCATAGGGTTCTGAACAATTCCACAAGCTTCTAGACAATTTTAATGTTTTATATATCTATCAAGATCTCTCTTTAATATTCTAGTAAATTCTACACTTTTCAATAAAGTTATAGATTTTTTTTAAAATACTCTCTAATTAAAGAGAGATGGATCCCATTATTAGAGAATGTCTATATATGATAGGAAAAATTGACAAGAATAATCTCATCTTACACTGGTCTTCTCATAATAATCTCATCTTTACATAATCCCAAAATAATTTCACCTTTGCTCCTCATCTTCTTTCATTGGACTTTGACTTGTTGATGACCTACTATACCAGGTTTTTACCCTTTCTTTGAAAACCTTATATAAATAATCTCACCTTTATAAAGATATAATAAAAAATTAAGGTGAGATTATTTATATGATTTTCAAATAAAGGGTAAAAACCTGGTATAGTAGGTCATCGACAGGTTATCATTTTTTTCTTGATTAATTATTTTTCAATTTAAGTATTTTTTGTTCAATTTAATTTAGATTGCCTTTTCTTGTTTTGTAGAGTTTAAGTGACATCTCACGTCTAGAGTCATTTTGGCGATATCATTTTTCATCTTTTAAAATATTAGTTATTTTTATTAAAATATCAATGATACATTTAATAAAGTGGTTACCCACGGTTTTACCCGTTGCCTTTTAGGGCGGTTTGAATAAAAATTACCCGTTGGGTAATGGGACGGTACAGGGTGGGGACGTTACCCAATGGGGCAGGTACGGTTATATGCATAACCGTTCCCGATACACCCCGTTGTCATCTCTACATATAGTGTACATTTATATTATAGCTTTACATCTAAAATTAAAAAAGTTCAAATTTAACTTTTAGACAAGGTCCAAAACTCTCAGAAATTGTACCCAACATCAAAGTTGTTCAAAAAACATGATCTCCTACTTATATAAAGAGTCACTTGGATGGCATTACAACTTTTCCGCCTTTTTTCGTTAAAGTAGGTTCCGTCTCCTCTGTTTCTTACGTCCGTCTTTTCACTTACCTGTCTTGAAATCAAACTTCGTTCCACTAACTTGACCTCCCCCATTTTCGAACTACTGTTCTCACCTCAACCTCTCCGTGTTTCACCTTCTTCCTGGGCTCTTGCTGGCGGTTTTCGTTTATCATTAGACTCACGATGTTCGCCGCACCCCTATGTACGGATTACCCATATTTGTCTTCTCTCTTCTCTACACTCAAGGTCTTTTGCTCATTAATTTTGTTGTGAAATTTTCAAAGACTTGCTATAATTGGCTGAGACTTTTGAATTACTTTTCTCTTATCTTATATTTTCCCCTCTTATCTTAGTCCACTGCTACTACTCCCTTCTCCCCTTTTTTTATTCTTCCAATTTCGATATATGTTGTGGAAATATATTCCACACCCGTGGCTTACTATTTGGTGTGGCAGTTGAGATTGATATTCTGTGTGTGTGTTAAATTTAGGATGGCTTGCCTAAAAGACCTTTAATCTTCACCATGGACAGAAATTGAAATATACTATGTAATAAAATGGGCCAACTTGAGGCTTCAAGTAGGACATTCTTCACTCACTCATCCTATATGTTCGTAGGTAGAAGATAGAGTAAATTACAATCAAGGATCATGTTTTTTTCATCTCATGTCAATCACAAAGGTTGTCAATTGTTTTATTTACCTATTTCCAAATTCAATTAAAAGACATTTGTAAAAAAAACTTGCTACCATGAAATTTTAAAAATGAACTTTTCCTTTTTTAATTCTTAAATATGAAGTACTTCATATATGCTTCTAAAAGAGCCTTACTTAATATTTTGTTATTTACCCAATGAAAAAAATTAGTGCTTTTTTAATGTATTTGAGCAAAGAAATGTTTTTTTTGCTTTGCAATTGGGCAAAAAAGATGTTTTTTGTTAAATTTTAGCATTTTACTTTCTGATTTTTGTGTTCATCAATTAAAAGTATATGCTTCTATTTAAAATGAAACTTAAAAATGCATTTGGTAATCACATATGCGAGTCCACTTCTGAATATGTTTAATAGTCATGACCTGGTAACTTTGTGCGAAGAAATGAATTATACGAGCTATTAATTAAGTTAGCAAGCACCAATAAGCTTTAAAACGAATCCTTCTTTTCTTGCTTCTTTTTATTCTCACATGCCATCCTTCTAATAAATTCATAAAACTTTACCAAATTTTGTATTAGGATCTTTGGTTATTTGGCAATCTGTTTTGCAATTGTCTCAAAAAATGGATTGATTTTAATTTATAGAATGAAATTGGGTTTTAAAAAACTACTGGAAGCAGGTTAGTTATATATATGTTTTTGTTATAATTAATTACCTATAGATTATTATCCATTTCATGTATGGCGAGCAATCTATGGGCTTAAGTGTACATTCGTAAGAAATCAAAACGCATATGAGCAGTAGATCATGATGCTGGGGATACCTTAAGTGGATCAGACGACTATGTTTAACACACCAAAATCAATCTTTTTAGCTGCACGTACACACATTACAAGTTTTTTATTTGAGGAGAGATCCTCGTTAAGAGAGAGTGTCACTCAAATAGAATCTTTTCCTTCATCGGTTATAGCATATAAACGAGGGGACAGACTAAAATCCTTTGGTCAGATGGACTAAGGATTGCTTTCGATGGCAACACAATCCAATATGTGCATGTTCCTTTTTATGGAATATGTGAATCCATGCTTATTTCCTTCCCCAATTGAGAACAATTCCAAAAGACAATCTCACCTAGCTATTGGACTTTGATCCATACTGACTATGAAAGAAAGAGCTATTCTTATTCTTTTCCCAAGACTAGGAAGCGTAAGGCAAAAAAGGAAGTATTGTACGAGATTTAGAGATTTTAAAAAAGAACATATTTTCCTTACTAACATATACGTAGTATAACATGTTTAATAAATGGTGATAAAATGCTATGGAGTATTATATTGAGCTGAAAATGCTATTTTGGTAGGCTATTTTGCTTGGCATGCTTTAGTAACTAATCTTATTTGCTTACCGTTGTGAAACAAATTTTAAGTATTTACTTAAAATTGATCGCAAATAATAATATGTGAGAATATCGGGTACAATCTCTAAATATGAATCCTCTGATTCTTCACTTGCAATTTGATATGAATATAATTAAAGAATTTAATTTAAAATTAAATCTCTAATTCTTCAAAAAAACTCGAACGTTCTTCGATTCTTCGAATCTTCGTTCTTGAGATCTTCAAATCTTCGAACTTCGTTCTTCAGATCTTCAAATCTTCTTGAATGCAAAATTCAATATTGAAGGGCCTCCAGTTTCAAGTAACTTGATCTTCAACAAAAGGGCCGTTATGTGGCTTGATCTTCTGTTAAAGGGCTTCCCGGGACATATGGCTTGATCTTCAATTGAATATTGATTCAATCTTCATATGAATATCTTCAAATCTTCAAAGATTCGTTCTTCATATCTTCGAATCTTCAAAGCTTCGTTCTTCAGATCTTCGAATCTTCAAGCTTCGTTCTTCAGATCTTCGAACGTTCTTCAACTTTTGGCTTTGTTTGATCAAGAATCGATGAAATCACAAAGGATTATTCATATATTCTTGACAAAAACATGGCTTGATCTCTTCCTGTTCTTCGGAATCCTTCAGAGCCTTTCGGGAGTTCTTCAGAGCTTTGATGCAGCGTTTCTTCGTCTGGAAGTTCTCCTCCCTTTCTCTCATCTGAGACCCCTATTTATAGGTATGGAGGGGGTGAAAATATGGCTCAGGTTTTTGGAAATTCGTCCATGCCCTTCGGGCCTCAATTAAAATGGGCTTCGGGCTCTATTTGCTTGTATTTTAATGGCCAGAAAAATCGGCACTTGTACAATGTATCTGGACAGCTTTCTTGACAAGGTTCGGAGCTATTTCTCATGCATATGGACACATTTCTTAACCAGATTCGTCTTCTCTATCAACTGGATCATGCCACTTATTCATTGAACCACTATTTCATATTCCGTATTGGGCTCGAAATAGAGAAATCAATAGGATCAGTCCATTTTGTTAAAGACTCAACTTATAATTAAATTAATTGGATATTTTAAATGATCCAAATTAATTTAATCACTAAATTTTATCTGAACGGATCCATATTAATATTTTCCTTTTGATACGAGTAGTCTGGTAGAATCCGATTTTGGCCCAATAAATTCAAAAGAGGCCCAGTAACGTGGATAATAGTCTAGTAGCATTTAAATCAGTTTAATAATATTATGGACTATCATAGAATAGTAAGTCCAAAATATTAAATAATTTTCAATATCCACAAATGCCCCCTCGAGACTTGCTTGAATATTCGGATCGAAAGAAAAGTAAGTCTCGAAAATAATATTCCATATTCACCCCATCTTTCGGAAATAGTTCTGAATGCTTAACATAATTTCAAGCAAAATGATTGGCTTAAATCATTTATTCTCACTAGCTTGAAATAGAGCCACACTTCATCGTTCAGAGCAAATATAATAACCCAAGTACGAATAATGGGAAAAATTAATTCTGAATCTTTGTGATGAGGCAGGCCCAAATAATCAAAACACTAGGAGTATAATCTGTAAAATTATTTCCACGTACAGTTCCAAACATGAATCAACATTGAGTCCTCCAACCCAAAGAGGATTTGACGTAGTCTGGGCTTTCAAGTTCTACCAGGACTTCTATTCGATCGTATTAGCCAGATCCAAACTCCTTGAATAACATCTATAAATACCAATCGAGAACTCATTCTCTGCATCTGCAATTCTCGAGTACAGAGATTTAGAAGCCTACGAAAGAGAGAGATCAGCCTTTTGGAAGGTATAATCACTTTCATGTTTTTCTTTTGAACCCCTTTCTTTTCTTTATCAAATTGCAGGTCAGCGGCAATCTTCTCGGCGGACCCAAGCTTCACCGCAGGTTGTTGCTAGAGAAGAAGGTCTGGCCGAGGCTGAGGGTCGCCGTTCTAATTTACCGGAGAGGGGAAAACCGGAGTGCTCTTTTCCATCGCCGCAAGAGACCGAAGCTGATTTTGTTGTTGATGTCGTTCGCTGGAGAGAGAGGATATTGCTTCGTTGGCGGAGGTCGGTAGTTTTCTGGCCGAGTTTTGTTGATGCAACAGTACAAAGTCTATCCAAGAAGGTTAAAGCAGAGGGGAATTCGTCGCTGTCCAAGAAGCAGGTGATTCAAAGAAGAGGTGGATGAAGGAACCGGTTCCGACGTAGGTCGTTCAAAGAAGTGGGCATCGAAGGAGTCAAACCATAAGAGGCTGCCCAAAGAAGAAAACAATGAAGGATCCCATCCATAGCAGGCTACCTAAACAACGAAGGATTCCATCCATAGAAGGCTACCCAAAGAAGAAAAACAATGAAGGACTCCATCCATAGCAGGCTGCCCAAACAATGAAGGACTTCATCCATAGCAGGCTGCCCAAAGAAGGAAAACAATAAAGGACTCCATCCATAGCAGGCTGCCCAAACAATGAAGGATTCCATCCATAGCAGGCTGCTCAAAGAAGAAAAACAATGAAGGACTCCATCCATAGCAGGCTGCCCAAAGAAGAAAACAATGAAGGTGACAGTCCCCTAGTAGGTTGCCATGTTGTCGCCGGAGCAAATAATGAGGCCATTGTTGTAGGAGGTTGGTGATCGGAGACTGATTCGATGCCGATGATGCAGGCTTTTCTTTGCTAAAGCAGTTCATTAATGAAGAGCTCGATTGATTATTAGACCGTCGTACCCTTTGCGTGAAGTTGGTCAGAGAAGAGCAAATCAAAGAGCCTTCTCGTTCCCACGAGGAAGCTGGGACCTAGTGTCAATAAATATTGGGCTTTAATCATACAAAACCTGTTTAGGATTTTAGCCTTCCCAGTTTTAAAGGCTCGTGCTATTTTCCATAAATGGGCGGGTTTACATTATGAAGAGGCCCAATTTTCTGCTATTTCAAGTGATATGGCATTATTCATCGGAGAGGAAGGAGCTTGGCCGATTTCTTCTATATTTTCTCCATGAAACTGATCAATTGAATCTGAGATTAATTACCACCACTGAGTTGCCCCCCTTTTATTATTATTATTATTATTATTATTTTATTGTATTTTTTTAATAACAATAATAATAATAATAATGACCTTCTCTCCCTTTTTTTTTTGCAGAACAAGATGATACAGTTTAGAGACATAAAGCGTGGAAACAAAAAGTATCTCTCTGTATCGACGGACAAGAAGAGTGACGATGAGATTCTCTTAGAGGTGTATAAGCCATTTGCTCGTGAGTTTTGGGGCGCAACTGTGGTTTCCTACCGAATCACAGACTGGACTCCTGAGTGTGAGTATCAAGCTCAAACAATGCGGACTTTAGTATCTGGCTTTCCTTACAAGCCATCTTCTGCGATTCTTCCTTCTTTGGGTAGGCGTATCATTGATGAAAACCTCCCTTTGACAAAGTCCTTATCATTTGGTGGCGAGTTTAGATTCATCACAGGTTATTGGGACTGGGCTGAAGACGTTTTGAGTCTGAGTAAAAACGTTCTGGAGGAGGGGCTTATTTATGATGCCATTTATGCCTCTTTGTTCACGTATGATCGGTGTACGAACGCTATGCAAGCATTCTGCGAGGCGTGGTGTCCGACAACGAATACTTTGCTTACGTCAATTGGCGAATTGACGATCACGCTTTGGGACTTGCACGTTATTGGAGGATTGCCTATCATAGGAGATGCATATGATGAATCTATTCCTGGCGCCTCCGATTTGTTAAATAAGAGCAATGACCGTTCACTTCAGCTCTGCAAATACTTGCTTCACGCATATCATCATCTTCTTCCGAAAACCGAAGATAAATGTGTTTTGCGTGTCCATTCATGGGTCAAATTCTGGTTCAAGAAGGCCTCCAAATATACTATGCCTCCATTGAGAACCGAAAAGAAACGAACATCTCGTGCTAAGGCGACCCATAATCCGAGTGGAGCTATTCCAAAATTTGGAGGGTGGTCGAATTCTACGAGGGTACCTTTTGATGTTTTGAAGATTCCTGCTGAGTATGAGGAAGAGATCTACTTGGCGTCATTTTTATCATGTTGGCTTTGTGTATTCGTCTTGCCGCATGAAGGTCCTAGAGCTATTCGCCCAGAAACTTTTAAAGTTGCTTGCATGATGGCTCAAGGGAAGCGGATATGTCTTGCAGTCCCAGTTCTTGCTAGTATTTATCATGGGCTCAATCAGATCTCGAATGCTCCAACTCCTTATCAAGTTAGAACGTGTTTTCCTGCTCACTATGTTTATGGGTGGCTGGCATCATACTTTGATACACATTTTAAGAATGAGATTCAGTCTACGACGCCATCGATGATTTCTTATTCGGGAGAAGGTGGAGCGAGATCCCTTGAAAAGAGAGCTGCACGCAGGAGAATTTTCCAGGGAGATGTATCAGCATGGGTGTGTTCTACGCATTGGAGAATGAAAGAGTATACATTCTTTGATGGAGATAATCCCCCAGAAGTTGAATTGGCGCTTTTTAGAAGTCTTCGGTCTAATTACCTCATATTACGCTATCAAAATCATTGTATTGCCGAGCCTTACACTCCTCATCGATTTGGTCGTCAGTTCGGGTACTTTCAAGCTTATGCTCCTGGTTTTCTTGAGAGACATAACCGACGTGTTTCACTTTCCGATGGATCTCGATTTTGGCTGCAATTTGAGCATGGCTCGTCTGTGGCGAAAGCAGTGTTTCCAACTCCTCCGACTCTTCCGGCAAAGTATTATTCCTTGGAGTATAAAGAATGGTGGAATCAAGTTCACGGTAACTACCTCGAGAATCATGTGAGTGACTTGATCAGGATTTGCGATCTTGCTGTTGGCGATGTGATCACCCCTTTGGATCCCGTGACTTTAGTCTTCAAGAAGAATAAGAAGGTACCTGATACTGAAGCTAAGTCTTTGCCCCAGAAAAAGGCTAAACTTGCAGCACCTAGGGCTGAAGTCTTGATCAAGGATGTTGAGACAGAAACACCTTCTGCCAAGGTGAGTGAGAATCAAGTTCTTGAGAAACAGAGTAACGATGATAGGAATTGGAAGCATCTTCAGAGAAAACCTCATCCTGGGCCACTGAGGGTTAGTTTCATTTTTTTTAATGATTTAACTTAATCTCAAGCTTGGACTTATATTTTCTTCCTTCTTTTGCAGATTCATCCAATCCTTGATGACGCTAGTTCTTCAAATCATGTTTCTTCATCTAGCTCAAGTGAAGGAGAAACTGATGATCATGACACCGTTGCGGGGTTGATGGCAAAAGTTGCCCCCAGTAATTGCAAAGAAGTTCCAATCAACGAGATACTGAAATCCCCTCCTGCGAAACCAGCTGTATCCATTTTTCAAGCAGAGAACTACTTCTTTACTTTGTATAAGCGGTTCCTTATTGAAACTTGGGGCGGTATTCAAAAGAAGTTAGAAAAGGCTACAGCAGAGAACGTCTCTTCTCTTCGAGAGGATGTTCAGAGTTGTGTTATCCTGATGGAGAAGGACGGTATTGACCTTTCCGTGTTGAAGACAAGAGTGAAGAATTTCTTTGAAAGAGCACAAGCATTTGATCAAAAGTGCTCGACTATTGCTGACAGGGTTCCTACGGAGAAGCAGTCTCGGGAATTGGCTATGTCGCAAGCTTTTTGTGCAGATATTGAAGCTAAGAGATCTCAAAATCAAGTCGCATTACTTGATGATGAGAAATCTCTAAATGAAATCAAGAAGAAGATAGCCTTATTGGAAGCCGAAGCTAAGGAAGTAGAAGTTTTGATTTCCCAGCGTCATGCAGAGGCTAGTGACTTGGATGCAGCTCTTACGAAGGCCAAGGAGGAATCTTCACGGATTTTGAAGACTATCAAAGCATCAGACGAAGATCAACTTGCTTTAAGTACCCAGAAGAAGGAGCTAGAGGCTTTGAAGGATGACTTAGTTAGCTTTAAATTGTTTTTAGGCTGAGTTTGTTTTTACTTGTTTATAGATTAGCTTTTAGTCAGCTAACACTTTCCTTCTTTTCTTTCCATCAAACTATATATGGATATATATTTGATTGCTTTCTTGCTCCTCATGAGTTGATACTTGATATCGTCTTACTTTCCATTTTTTTTTTGACCAAGATCAAACTTTATTGGGGTTTGTGTTGTTATAACTGAACTCAAAAATGAAACTTTTGAGCTGCCTACGTACTCCTATGAAGGAGATCAAGTCAAACGTAGTTCATAGTACCATTTGAATAGGTAATTTAGAGGGGCGGGGTGCCGTACACAGTTTTAACTCATGCGGGCCAGGAGCTTGCCGTACACATTTTTAACTCTCGTGGGCCAAGAGTATCTATGATTATGCTCACCCATAGACAAAGTGAGATGTTTTAGCAGTTTAGCCACTTACAACATCATTGGTGGTTTAAGCCATTCAACATTTCCTATGGCCATATGCATACCCCAAATATCAAGGGTAGTAGAGCTTTAGGAATCTCCCATTGATCGGGCCAATCTTTGAGCCACCTGCGTCGACCAACTTGTAGGCACCGCCTGAATATACTTCTTGAACAACATAAGGACCATCCCATTTAGGCGAGAACTTGTGTCCAGATTTCCTTGTAATAATGATAGGTCTTCGCACAGCTAGAACTTTATCACCAACTTGGAAAGAACGAACTCTAACTCTCTTGTTAAAAGATCTTGACAAACGTGCTTGATAGCATTCTAAGTTCTGCTGAGCTTCTAACCTCTTTCCATCAAGTGCCTCGAGTTCTGTCAACCGCAACTTTACATTTTCTTCATCAGTAAGACCTTCTTGAATAGCCAATCTTAAAGATGGTATTTGGCGTTCAAGGGGAAGGACTGCTTCAGTACCATACACCAAAGAATATGGAGTACTTTGGGTAGGTGTTCGATAAGTCGTTCTGTATGCCCATAGTGCTTCTTCCATTCTTTCGTGCCAATCTTTCTTTGACCTTGACACTACTTTCTATAACAGGTTGCACAGAGTCTTATTGAAAGCTTCAGCGAGGCCGTTGGCAGCGACATAATACATAGAGGACTTTCGTTGCTTGAAGTCGAACAACTTGCATATCTTGTCCATCAACTTGTTGTCAAAAGGTTTCCCATTGTCTGTCAAGATATACCGGGGAATGCCAAAGCGGTAAATAATGTGGACTCGGATGAAATCATCAACATTTTCCTTCTTTACCTCTTTCAATGCAACTGCTTCAGCCCATTTTGAGAAATAATCAATAGCGGCTAGTATGTATGAATGCCCTCTTGATGAGCTAGGCGTGATTGGTCTAACTACATCAAGTCCCCAAGCATCAAACGGTCATGATGCTACTGTCGGATGCAATGGTTCTGGTGCTTGATGGATAAAATTGGCGTGATATTGGCATGCTTGACATTGCCGAGCATAATCCATGCAATCCTTCACCATTGTCGGCCAGTAATATCCCATCCTCTTGATGTGAAAGTGCAGTTTAGGACCGGACTGATGAGCTCCACATACTCCGGAATGTGCCTCTTCCATTGCTTGTAAGACTTCGTCTCCGCCCAAACATCTAAGAAATACACCATCGAAAGATCTTCGATAAAGTGTATCCTTATAGTAGATGAAACGTGGTGAACGCCTCTTTAAGTCCACTTTCTTGCGGGGGTTTTCCGGTAACTTCCCATCAGTAAGATAATCAATGAGTGGTTGTCTCCAATCTTCATTTTCAATATCATAAACCGATGTAGTTGGCATCTCGATTATCTCTTCGGCTGCACCATCTTCTCCGATGAAAGGAGGAATTACCCATTTTTGACATACCCGTACTTGAGTTTCATTGTCAAGATGTGCCATGTTTGATGCTAACCCTGCTAGTGCATCAGCTTGCTTGTTTTCTTTTCTCGGCACATGTTCAATTGTCACTTCACCAAGCCATCCAATGAGTGCCCTTGCATATTTGTTGTAAGGATGTAGTTCAGGCTTTCTGACTTCATAGATTCCAAGCACTTGATTGATGATCAGTTTTGAATCGCCATAGATATTAACCCGTGTTTGCTTCATGTCTACAGTTATTTCAAGTCCGAGGATAAGTGCTTGATATTCGGCGACGTTATTAGAGCATTGTTCCATAAGTGTGAAAGCATAGGACAGAACTTGACTTTCGGGTGTAACAAACACAACACCAGCTCCGGCACCTTCTCTATGTGCAGCCCCATCAAAATACATCTTCCATGGAGGCAAAACTTCAATTATAAGCACATCTTCATCAGGTAGATCATCAGAAAGCTCCCACTCAGTAGGGATAGGGTGATCGGCTAGGAAGTCTGCTAAAGCTTGTCCTTTTACAGACTTTTGTGAGACATAGACAATCTCAAAATGTTGAAATATCAAATACCATCTGGCAAGACGATCAGATAGGACCACCTTAGACATCACATACTTCAGTGGATTCGCCCTAGAGACAAGATGTATCGTGTAAGCTTCAAAGTAGTGTTTAAGTTTCTTGATTGCAAATATAAGGGCTAAACATAACTTCTCAATGGGCAAGTACTTCCATTCATGTGGAGTCATCATTCTGCTTAAATAATAAAGGGCATTCTCCTTCCCTTTATCATTTTCTTGAGCTAATAGAGTTCCCACGGACCTTTCTTGAGCTGCAATATAAAGTATCAAAGGGCGACCAACAACAGGTGCATTTAGTACCGGTGGTTTCATCAAATAAGCCTTGATATTATCAAACGCATTCTGACATGATTGGTCCCATATGAAAGGCACACCCTTCTTCATAATTCGACTAAACGGCTGACATCTTCCCGATAAGTTCGAGATGAACCTTCGTATATAAGCCAATTTCCCTTGCAAACTCTTCAACTCATGAATGTTCCGAGGCTCAGGCATATTCACGATAGCGTCAATCTTGGCTTGTTCTATCTCAATGCCTTTGTGACGAACAATAAATCCCAAGAACTTCCCAGCTGAAACTCCAAAAGCACACTTCAGAGGGTTCATTTTGAGACCAAATTTTCTCAAGCGATCAAAAACTATTCTTAAGTGAGATAGATGCTCATTTCGGGCCTTTGACTTCACCACGAGATCATCAACATAGCACTCCACGATTTTGTGGAGAATATCATCAAATATTGCTTGCATAGCTCGTTGGTAAGTAGCTCCAGCATTCCTAAGTCCGAACGGCATGACCGTGTAGCAATAGATTCCCTTAGGAGTTCGGAACGCAGTCAATTCTTCGTCCGCGGGAGCCATACGGATTTGATTATAACCGGAAAAACCATCCATAAATGACATAATTTCATGTCCAGTCACAGCATCTATCATCAATTCAATGATAGGCAATGGGAAGTCATCTTTTGGGCAAGCAAGGTTCAGATCCCAAAAATCAACACATATTCGGATCTGTCCATTTTTCTTTTTGACCGGGACAATGTTGGCTATCCAAGTAGGATATTTTACTTCTCGGATGAACCCAGCATCAATAAGTTTATCTACCTCTGCCTCGATTAATGGGATTAAATCTGGGCGGAAGCGCCTTTGAGCCTGCTTTACTGGTCGACATCCTTTCTTTATCGCTAAGTGATGAACAGCGACCTTTGGGTCTAACCCCGGCATTTCTTTGTATGTCCATGCAAAGACATCCTTGTACTCTCGAAGTAAGGCCAAGTGTTCTTGTTTTTCTTCACTTGAGAGAAGAGCACTGATATAAATGGGGCGAAGATCTTCTTCGGTGCCAAGGTTTACTTCTTGTAATTCATCCAAGGCGGTTCGCACTCCATCTTCAAATTCAGGAGGAGCTTCATCAGCATCTTCACCTTCGGCCGGAATTTCATCTTCAAAAGTAACATGGTAAGATGAGGCAATGTATTCCTTGTCATCGGCTAGTTCATTAGATATCAACTCATTATTTTCAAGCATTTGAGTATGAACTATGGTTTTGAGTTGTGCTTTAAGGGTTTCTCCACATGAGACTGTTACATCAGTTTCTCGTCTCATTCTTGACGGAATCAAGCTTCTGCATTCATTCGAAGCTTGTGCTTTTGCATATTGGTTGAAAGACCTCTTACATGAGCGAATTTTCCCCAACCTTTCATGTATTGGTTTCCGCGCAAAATTTTGCCCACTACATGGATCTTCAATGTTCTTCACGTTCATCGGGATCATTCCAAGCCTTTCTTCTAAAGTATTCTTCATGATCTTCTTTGGCTTTGGTCCCATTCTGTCAAATATGGCGGGCCTTGATCTTGCCCTCCCAATCCGATCAAAGACAGAATACTTCGGTTTAGAAGTCACTTCATCTTCTTCATCAGCACTGATATGATGCGTTGCGGCTCTATTTATGAGGATCCTTATGGGTTTCGGCTGAACATAACCCAATCCTGTGTGCCCTCGAAGATTGATCTGCTTCGGTTTCCCTTCACCACCAGCTTCTGGAATGAGTTTTCCCAAAATCTGTTCATCGGGATTATACCCAGCCTTGGCTAGAAGTTTGTACGCGTTTGGGTCAAATCCTTCATTTGTGCGTGCCTTAGGGAGCTGAAATGTCTTAACATCATTCTCGTGTTTCACTTCATCCTTAGATGTGTTTCGAGGGGGCCTTGATATTTCAATCTTTGCAAGAGGGAATACAAGCCCTTCTACGCCTTCAACGAGCTTCCCTTTCAACTTTGGTTCAGCCAAGGGGCGATACTCTTCTTCTTCTCTTCTTGCATCGTCATCTTTAAAAACTTTGGCCTTTAGATAAAACTTTGCGTCTGCAAAGTATGTCTCGGCTTCTGTGAATGGAGTTTCATCGGCTACTACCTTCTTTACAACGCCATTTTCCTCATACATGAAGCATTGATGCCACGTTGAAGGAATTACACCATTCTCATGGATCCATGGGCGGCCCAAAAGGAGATTGTATGAAGCCTTTGCATCAATGAC